AAGTGATTGCCATTTCATTTAAGTGGAACCTTTCATTTTAAATTTTGAGAAGATCTGTGCACATGTGTAATAGAACCCTCCAGGGCTGGGGATGGGGTATCCATTCACTCAGGTATCCCCTCTAGTCACCAGAATGGAGGTGCACAGACAGCGAGAGACCAGTGAACAGATACCAAAAAATAAACGTCCTCACCTGTATCTACATGGTTCTGTCAGACATTCGTGGCTGTTCTGATCCTTTCCCCACTTGGTCACTCCCAAGATGGTGGCTCCAGGAAGAGCTGAGTGTCTTGAATTAGAAAGCAATGGATTTCTTGATTCTGCTACAAATTCCCCTAGCTGTAAGCATTCCAACCTTCTAAATATTCCTTTATATGTGGTTCAGAGTTCTAGCACCATCCCCTCAGCTTGGTTGGCCTGGTATTCTGTGTTGTTGGTAACCGAGCTCCTCACGGCACATCTTCCCCACCATAACACACTATTAATGCACACTTTGGGGCTTTCTGACTTCCCTTTATTTTCTTTTCAGACAACAGAGATCTGGACAGAAGAAACAAAGTCATTATAGAAAATTCATCATATTTACACCTCAGTTGGATACAGTATCCTCAGTGAAGTCTTTCAGGACCCCATGAACAAAAATAATGGCTCTTTGATTTTTTTATGCCAGTTTTAATAGTTAGTGAAATTAAACTACTTAGAGGGGTTGAGATTTGGAATCACAATTGGAGTCAATTCTCATCCCATCATTTAATAATAACTGTGGAACTTTGGGCAAGTTGGATTTCTCCAAACTAAAGTTTAAAGATAGAAATAATAATAATTAGGGTATTGTGAGGATTTAAAAACATGCACGGATGTACATACATACAGTGTCCATTTTACAGTACTTGACACATGCATAAGTGTCTAAGAAATGTTAGCTGTTATTGCTAGTCATAATTAGCAATAATGCTGTAACTTATATATGGATTTGTTGTTGTTGTCAGGTGCCATCGAATCGGAACCGAATCATAGCAACCCCATGCACAACAGAACGAAACAATGTCCGATCCTGGGCCAACCGCATTACTGCTGACATACTTGAGGCCATCAATGATGCCATCTGG